AGGGTTGCGATCCGTTGCCGGACACGGAAAAAGACAAAAAGACAAAAAAAAAAAAAAAATAATGCTACTGTAAATTGATAAGATAATGCTATTAATTTTGTCTCTCTCAATAACATTATCCATACCAATTTACAGACACATTTTCTGTGCCTCAGTTTTCTTCAGAGACTCTCCTAAAGTTCCCAGTTAATTCACAGGAGGCCAAGGACAGAGGCCAGGGTCAGGAACACACAGAGACCTGGGACTTTGCTTTTGGCACTCACATTTATTTGCAGCTCATTCATGTGTCACTGACAAGCTGAAGGGGCATGGCTCCTGTAGGGTGAAGTCCAGCCTGAACTGCGATTTGGACGACTGCCTGGGGACTGATCTATTCCTGTGCTTGTTAGAGTTGGGAAGGGTGGCGCAAGGGTCTGGGGCAGGCCAAGCTGGTGTGTGATGTCTAAACAGAGCCAGATGGGCAGCATTTGTCCAACTAGGTCTCACTAGTCAGTTATAGCATATGTGAATATTAAAAAGCTGAATGAAATATAATTTTTGTCTGTTTTTTTGTATTAGGGTTCTGGGTATTCTTTCATATACCAAAAAGGTTTTGGTATTTTAACCTTTTTTTTGTTTGGTAGCTGGCTGGTACAGGGATCAAAGCTTGGACCTTGGTGTTATCAGCACCACACCCTAACCAGCTGAGCTAACCAACCAGCCTGCCCATTTTGGTATTTTAAAGAAATCTAAAACCAGTCACCAAAGTTTCAATTTGAAAAGCGCAATTACACAGGTCAGAAGGAGTGTAGATTTGGAGAAGTTGGCTGGGAAGCTGAATCATGGCTGATGGACGAAAGAATGAAATAAGGCACACAGAAGAGTGAAGCTGTTCTGTCTGAAGTTCTTTTAAAATTTTATTTTTGGAAAATTCTGGGTAAGGTTGTCTGTAGAGAGTAGCATACGCAAAGTCTTGTTCATGCATTTTGCAGACACTACATTGGATATCTTATTAAATAGGTATCGTTTTTATTGTACTAACTGAAGAGAGCTGATCTGGACTTTTATAAAACCCACAGTCAGAAAGCCCTAGAGAGGCAAAGAAGGGGAACTGTGAGGGACAGGCCATCTGCTTTAGGCCACTCACTTCTATAGTAACTGGAACCCCACCCAAAGGGCTCCTTGCTGAATGCCCTACCTGTGTCCCACCCCAATTCCAGAGCTCCAAGGCCGTATTTCTTTTCTTCCACAGGCTTCTTGGTTTCTCACACCTATCCTCATAGATAAAACCTGCCTTGGTCAATAGATTAAATGACTGGAGTGTTAATTTATATTTATTACATTGATATACCTAATAACAATTCCTGATGACAGGCCTAAACACTGGCAGCCATGCCAAAGCAGGGTCTTTTCATAACATCTGGTATGACACCACTCATCTTTTTTTTCTTTTTTTCTTTTTTGTCCTTTTTCGTGACCGGTAACGGGATCGCAATCCTCAGTGTCGCGCCCGCACCACGCTCAACCAGTGAGCGGACCGGTCTCTACATGGGATCCGACCCCTCGGTGGGAGCGCCGCCGCGCTCCCAAGCACCGCACTCTACCGAGTGCGCCACCGGGCCGGCCCCCACTTATCTTTTGAAACTGAAAAGAGAGCAGGGCTAATAATGGTCATATGTGATCCAATAGTAAATAAGAGCCTTCTTAACAAGAATGCCAGTTACACTAATATTCCTATATTCATATAAGGTTCAGTAGGGAGTGTTTTTCATAATCTAGCATTTAAGAATCCAAAACAATTTCAGTCAATGTATACTTACTGATTCACTAGTTTAGAGATGAGCTTTACTCTGTGCTTAAAAGACCATTCTAGTTTATAAACTGTAGTTGAATGACTGTGAGATAGGGCTGCTTAATTGTGTGTGATTTAAATAGGACATATGACAATCAATCAATCAAACAAAAATTTATCTAAAAAACAAATGCTGTTTACTATTTTTTGGGCACTTGAGTTTATTTCAGAACCAGAATAGACTAATTCATACTTTATAAAGTAACATATAGTATATATTATTTCCAGAAAGAGAATTCATATCATATAAACTATATGTTCTTTTTTTTTTTTGGTGGCTGGCCAGTATGGGGATCTGAACCCCTGACCTTGGCTTGGTGTTATCAACACTGGTGCTCTAACCAATGGATATATATTCTGAATATAAAATAATATACAAAGCCAATGTTGCCATTAATTCTATTACTTACCAACCTACCTACTTATAGTAAATTTCAGTTGCCCTTGCTCTTTAATGGAGGGTTCCTGATTTGAATATATCACTTAAGCTTTTTTTAATCACCCACCTGCATAATAAGAGAATGTTCGCTTGTTCCGATCAAAAACAAACCAACGTTTTTTCCACGTTTTAATTTTTCCACCCATTTTGATGAGGAATCCTCGGCAGGTCTTCTCTGTGATTGATACATGATAACAGGTGTCGACATTGTGGCCAGCAGTCTCTACATGGCTCCGCAAATCAAAGTCTTCCTTCCGGACAGGCAGATAGCGTGTCAGAGGACGAGCCTGGAAAAGTGCAAAACTCAGTACATCTAAAGCTAATGCTTTGTTTTGTTTCAGATGTTTAGAAGTGGAAATTAAGTGTGAAGCTTAAGTTTTAAAATGCCCACATGATCGTGAGAGCTTAAAATAAACAAAGCACTTATCATTTGGAGTCTAAAAAGTGAATAGTGTTTTGAGAAAGATCCTACAATACAGGGGCTGGGGAGTGTCATTGATAGATTACAATAGTGCCATAGATTGTATTCCTTGAGACTGGCAGATGAGAAAATGGAAAAATGTCATTTATCTTAGCTTTAAGGAGGTATTTAGCACTTAACAAACACTGGGAAATAAAGCATGAAGTTATCTGGGCTGCCCTTTGCAGATGAGGACTCCTCCGCTTGAACGTTTCCTGGAGTTCTTGCCACAATTTAACAATAGTTCTCCTTAAGTGACCTCAGAAGTGACATGATTGACTGAATACTATTTAGTAAGTACAACACTCCCAAGATCCCACAGACTGTACATGTCAGCTTCTATACACTCTGACAGAAATGGAGGGCAGAGATGCATGTTCTGAAGAGTGAAGCAAAAATAAAGATGTGGAATCAAAGCTGAACTGTCCAGGACCAGACCCCGAAGGGATATACTTAGATGTCTTCTCTTTACTAATGACTGGAGTAAGGGTTCATCTAACCTAGGAAGCACATAACACCATAAGCAATATTTCTCAAATGGTGTTTTATTTTATTCTGTTTAAAAACCCCTTCCCTTTGCCCTGGGGAAAATGACCTAATTATATGCTTAGAGGCAAAAGTTATAATCAGGATTAAAACAGTATTGTGCTTTTTGGTTTGGCTTCAGATACTAAACAGGCATGCATGACCTTCCCTGCAAATCAGAATTTGGCAGATGTTGGGTATAATAAAATAAAATAAACAAGTTTTACTTTCTATTTTTCCTTTGGTTCTGTGGTAATTTGACTGCAGACAGACGCCACAGGGTTACTGATACCTCAAAGCACAGAAAATCTTTTTTTGTGTGTGTGGCTGGCTGGTAGAGGGATCGAACCCTGGACCTTGTTGTTATCAGCACCATGCTGTAACCAACTGAGCTAACCAGCCAGCCCCCACACAAAATCTTATAGGTAGTCTCTAGCTCTTGAACTACCAAACTGCCAGTAACTATAAAGAGTAAGGGAAAGGATATCTTTTATCTTTGAGTCTAATAAACCTTGACAAAACTCACTTGAGCTTTAAATTACATGGTACCTAACAGAACTTTATTTTAGTTCCTCAGAAAACATGCATTATGTAAGCAGCTATAGTAGTAAGAACAGAGATTCAAACTATACAATGACCAACATAGGAAGTTAAACAAAATGGGTGGTTTTCCCAAATTTTGCTCGAGTTCCATAATCTTGTGCACATGGTTTGTGGACCAGTGTAGCAAAGGGGACACTGTGACAATACGGTGGTTAGAAAAAAACAAAACAAAACACTACTACTATCACCACCACCACCACCACCAAGACACCAGGCTGGTAAAATTACCCTGTTCTGAAATGTTTGCTTCTAAAAGGTGGCTTAAAAGAGTCTCTTCCCTTCCTCGGCCAAAGGTTTTAGTTTGGGTGGTGTACTCGTATTTGTTTTCAGCAGCAAATTATTTGTTTTAGTTTGGGTATTGCATTCATATTTGTTTTGCAATTTTCAAAGCTGCTCAAAAAATATTCTCCTTTTAAATGTACTCCAAAGAATGGGTAGGAAAAAAACGTGACTCTTCCAACAAAATGTTCTGTGCATGACTAAATAAAATGTCATTTGTTTGGTAGTTCCTTCAGAGTTTTGAAATAAACTAACATTTTTCGCACACTAACTCACTCTTAACCATTACATGTCAATCCCAACACACAATGGCTGTCTTCTACGGGACGATCACCAGGGGGCAACCTTCTCCTGTCCATTCGGATTGATCGACCAACCTGTGCTCTCTGCTTCTCCCTTATTTTTACTTCCTTCTCTATTAACTTCTGCCTCTGGCTGGTTTCTTCCTGCAATCGTTTTTCCAGGAGTTCTCGGCGTCGTTTTTCTTCTTCCAGAGCTCGTTTTTTGGCTTCCATTTCTCGTTCCTAAACATTGTTATGCAGAACAATGATTAGTTTAAGAGATACTTTTTTTTTTTTTTTTCCTTTTTGTCTTTTTTTTTTTCGTGACCGGCTACGGGATCGCAACCCTCGGTGCTGCCCCCGCACCTCGCTCAGCCAGTGAGCGGCCGGTCTGTATGTGGGATCCGAACCCTCGGCGGGAGCGCCACCGCGCTTCCCAAGCGGTGCACTGTAGCAGTGCGCCACCGGGCCGGCCCCAAGACATACTTTTATAGTTGGAGGATTCCAACTAATACCAAAAAGAAAATTCTCACTAGGCAATTCTTTGTTTGTAGTCTAGTCTCTTACAATATATAACCCAGACTAAAATAATCCGTAATCACCTCTGGCATAGCTTTCAAAATCATCATATGCAGAAATGTAACCACTAAATTTAATAAACAAATAAATATTGGTCTTAAGTGAAAATCCAGCTTGTGACTATATTCAGTCTTCATGTCAATGACCACAACTCTCCAGTTTTTAATAAAAAGCCTCACAAACTGTCACCCAACACTGGTCATAAGATGTCGCCTTTTTTAGACTGCCGTCTTCTAACCTAAGGTCATCAGTCCTTCCCATTCCTGTTGTTGCTCTGCAGCTTCCTGCCTGAAGGTTGCAGAGGAAACATATGGGGAAGCCGGAAAAGGAAAGGAGGTGCCCTGTAGGGCAGGATGCAAGGGCATTTGGGGGGATTCCTAAGGAAGTTCAGATTTTGGCTAGAAATACAGACACAATAATATGGGAATTTAAATATTACAGTAGTGCAGTTAGCACAAGCTGGTTAGGAAGAAAGAAAGCTTAAGGACATGACATTTCTCCCAGTTCCTTGGCAGGAACATGAATGGCTGTCAAAGGGAAAATATGATTTGAAGAATTCATTTCAGTCTATGTCAACACCATATATATTTCAATTTACGGAAAACTGTAGTGCAGTAAAGGGGCTTAGAAACCATCTAAAACCTTTACTTTTCAGATAAGGAAATGCAGCTGAGAAAGGTTGAGTGACTGCTCCACGACCACACCGCTTATTAAGGCTCAGCAAGGAGGAGCGTTTCCTCATGTCAAGTGCAGGCTCCTTGCACCACCACACCACAGACCTCCGGCATAAAGGCATTATGCTTACCCTGGATTCAAGAAGCCGAGTCTTCTCTGCATGAGCCTGCTTCAAAAGTCTCTCCATTTCTTCTATTCTGGCAATATTTGAAGTGCTGGCACTGAATCAAAAATAAGAGCCTTTTAAGAGTCTTGGTTAAGATTGATAAGTCTCTCTAAACAGACACACACACACACACAGGGTCAAGGGAGATGCATGACAAAATCCAAGCATAAACAATTTAAAGGATGTTATTTACCTGAAAAGGCAAATCAATTCAACTCTGAAAATCATAGATGATACCAACTTACCTCAGTTTAGGAGATAATATTTAGACAAGCAAAATAACACCAATGTAAACTGCTCTACTCATAAATAAATAAACCAAAACCAAATCCTACTAGGTGTGACTTCAAAACGCTTCCTCCGAAGTGTAAAAATGATGGTCCGTGGGAGGCCTTCCCTTTAGTTCAATGATGCAGAGATGTCAGACCAACAAGACTATCACCAAAGTTCTATATAAATGACACCTAATGCTTGAAGTCACTTCATTCAATTGGGGAATATGTATCACCAGCTGCTTTTTGTTGTGACTTTATACATGTGGACATTTTATTTCCTAAATGATGGTGCCAATGAAAAAATGACTCCCATAGGTTCAATGGATGGGTGGTGGCCCGTTTTGTAAATAATACCCACCCACCAATTCAGTGAGGAAACTGCATAAAGAGATTCAAGGGCTTCAAAAGAAATGCCTTTTGGGAAAGACATCACATAAAGAAGTAAAACAAACAAACAAAAAACCCCAAAGAAACAGAGTGAAAGCTGTGAGAACATTTAGGATAACTAAAAGAGAGAAAAACTTGGAAATGTTTAACACAAAACAAAAAATTTATTTTTCACTTGCTAACATTTTATTTGACTATTCTGGAAAAGAGGGACCCAGGTCAAAACTTATTTACTCTGATGTTCCAGCCATGGAGGACCAATGTTGTTCCTTACGTGCGTGCACTTGTAAAGTCATTTTAGTATGTGTCTCCTTTACTAGACTCTCTTGAGGAGAGACAGGCTTCCGTACCTATATCCACCAGAGCGTACAGCCTGGCACACAGTAAAGATTGGTGTTTGTTGGACACATTCATATAAAAATTAATTTATAAAAGTTTATGTAAAATGAATAAACAGAGCCCTCTTATTTATAGATAATTATTAATATAGTATCCCCAGATTGTCAGTTTTTGATCAAATCAAACCTAAGATGGTTCAAATCTAGGGCTAATAGTTCTTCTGAAGAGCTAAAACACCACAGTAACACAGGGCATATGGTTTATCATAAAACGAGCACTACCAGCCCCACTGCAAAACATCTGTCAAAGAGAGGAACTATCTTGGGAATCCAGGATCTTCAGAAGCATAACAATTAGGCAATACTTTGCAGGTTACCTTGGGCCAATTTTTACCCAGGTGTTTTCTCCTGAGAAAGAGAAGAATACGGTAATTTCTTCTCATTTCCATCAGCTGTTGGGGGAGGTACTGAAGGGTAAGTTCTGTTCTCTTCAACTAGCAAGAATTCAAGAAAAAAAAAAAAACACTTTAATTTTTGTACAGACATTCTTATTCCCCTTTATTGAGAATACATGACTGCATGTATGGAAAATGGACAAACTTCATTGGCCCAACTGAGAAAGCCAAAGACAAGCATGTAGGTCATATGATAGCACAAAATTATATTTATATTCTGTAGTGTCTGTCACATCAGATTCGTCTTATGTCTCCAATTAATTTGGAAATAATTGAATTTCACTAAGTCTCAGGTCTTAAAAACTCACCAATTAAATAAAACAAACTCATCAATAACAAACTAACCTCCTTTTGTCCCTTTTTTATACCATGTTTATTCAGATTTCACTGGTTACCATTTTCTTTGCTTACTTGTCTTTTTCCCCCAGCTTTATTTAATACACATATAATTAACAAATAAAAAATGTATATATTTACAGTATGCAACATGATGTTTTGGTATACGCATACATTGTGAAATGATTACCACAATCAAGCTAATTAACATACCCATCACCTCACGGTTATGCGTGTGTGTGTGTGTGTGTGTGTGTGTGTGTGTGTGTGTGGTGAGATATTTGTTGCTTAATTCTTTCTACGACATCATTATTGCAGAATGATAATTCCCGGCAAGTAGTTGTGTGTGGCCAAGATAATTTTCCATAGTTGCTTCACATAGCATTGACCCTGTTATGGCTAGCAATCTCAGGGAACCAGTCTCCATGGTCTGAAATTGCTAACAGTATTTATTTCACTGTGTTATCAGATCCTTTGAATGTCAAAAAATTGAAGCCAAAGTAGGAGATGCTTGTAAGAGGTCATGTGTAAAAGAGAGAGAGAGAAAACCAGGTATTTCTCATCTTGTGCCACCTTAAAAAAATTCATGTTACTCTAAGGTAAGCTTTTACCCATTATTATGATGAAAGATAATGTGATAAACATCAGGAAAGTTGGCAATTAAAAACTAGTGCTTGGAATATGTAATATGACAAAGCATCCTTAATTCAATGACAAACTTCCTGAAGATTGTTATAAAGAAGAATAAAGGACTAAAAAATTTGTTCTTCTTAACATTTTTTTAAATGATGTATTAAAATACCACCAAATTATAAGTCTATTAAAGAGGTAATTCCATGCTGAAATTCTAGTGACGTAACCTTGGTCTTGTGGTTTATTATGTCATAAAAAGCCATTTGCAGAATTACAGAATTACTCAGCCTTGTGGGTACATTTGCCCTTCACTTTTTGTTGAGACAACATTTTCCCAACTACCAGAAAAGTTATATGAGTCAATGTTTTTGCTTTTTCAGCATCATTATTTATACTATAAACAAACATAATGCTCAGAAAATAGGTCTCAAGTCTTAGAAAACAGTAATTGAGAGTCAATTCTGCATAGAACCTCCACTCTGCTAAAATTATTGAATTGGCTTAAAGAATAGTATTCTGAATACAACCTTCACTGATACTAAGCCCTGGCTTTGTGTTCATACATTGCGAAAATGTTAAGAAATAATATGGTCAAAGGCACAGAGATCTGAGAGTTTGTCACCCTTGCAATTTATAAGAAGCTTTGTGAGGTGCATCAGGAGAGAGAATGAACAGGAAGTGGGCTGGATCTAGAGTGCTACGTTCTGGGTATGACTTTGTTCAGTAGGTAGCAGGGGTCATCAGAGCTTTAGAAGAGGAGTACCATGACCAGATTTATATTATAGATAAGAAAATTCCATAAGATCACTTTTGGTTGCCTCAAAGTATAAATACAGATGTGAGTGGTTAAATCCTTACAAAAATTTTAAGGTACAGTATAACTAAAGCTTTCCTTTTAACAAAACATATGGGTAAGAAGTTCTGACTTCATAAGTTCAAAGTTCTGACTCTGTTGTTGGAAATTATTCCTTTATTTAATTAAAAGCAGTGCAAATGAAGCCTGGAGTCAACCAACAGAGGCAAATCAGTTTTGCAGCATAGTATACATGTGGACTCAAGCGGAAAGAAAGTGGGTAAAGGGAGAAAATAGACTATATGATGTCTGACTGGCTAAGTCACACAAGATACAAAGAAACTACTTTCATAGTTTACCATGATACCCAATCTTCTTCTGCACTGTACACTCTTTATGTCTCAAATATTTGGGCCTGTACATGTACAATATCCCAAATCGATGACTTTGCTTTTTGAAACCAGCAGGGACTTTTCCAAACCAGAAACCTTGTCTGTAAGTAATCTTACCTGGAGATATTGTCGGGTGAACAAGCAGAGATGCTGGTCTCCATGCTATCGGAGCTGTCTAGGCTCAAAGTATCAAAAGCCTGGTCCTTGTAGCTGTGATCTGGATAATGGAAACTGTTCAAGTAGACATTTGATTCAGATGCTGTGCGGTTGTAAAATTCAGATTTCTGCCTATGTCCTTCACTCATCTGTTGGTGATTATAACCTAAGGAAAGAGCCATAAATATGTTAGTATGCTTCACTTTTCAGTTTTAGAATCTTGTAAGTCTATAGATTCAAGCTTGCAACCAGAAACATCTGCATATGAAACTTGGGCCTTAGTCTAATTTGTTTTGAAGCCAAGAAGATCAAAGAAACAACATCGTGCTTAGTACAAGGAAGAGTTTCAAAGAAGAGGTCTTGCGAGCGATCTTATTTGTTGGTGAGATCACTTGACACTTTCCTATGCCATTCCTCCATCTCAGAATGAGAATAATACGTTGGCACACACATAAACACAAGAGAAACAAAACAGAAACACAATTAAAGGCACTGAATCCTCTAAAAACAGCTATGTTCAAGAGAAGGCAAGACAACTCCTAGTGACAAGCGACACAAAGGTTTTAGGGCAGTCACTTCTTTAATAGTATTCAAATTTAAGGAGCACTCAATCTGGTCATAAAATAGCAGGTGGGTCTTTTAGGTGTAGGATTTGAGTCACATATATCTCATACCATCACTAACACTTTTAATCTGCTAAAGATCCACACCGTTTGTTTCTCTCTCTCTTTTCTTTTCAATTTTTCTTATCTGCCAATTACTTATTTAAAACATTCAGGGTAAACAATCCCGCCAGTGGTTGTGCTCCTCCTAATTACTGTATATACAGCTCTCTTCTTTTCCCACCTTAACAATCAGCCTTCAGCTAGCTGATGATAACAATTATTTGAAAAAGCAATCATCAACAGGACCAAAAGCACCATAAATAAGAGGTTTTTTCCTTATCCTGGAACTTGGTCAGCTGGCACTTTAGGTTATTGGCTTCACCTAGTGTTATTGCTATGGCTTGCTCTCTGATAGCTGATTTTGGGCATTACAAATCAAATTTTCTTCTTTTCAATTCTTTATTTATCATTTACTCAGGAAGCAGGGATCAAATTGATAAATGAATCCCCCAAATTAATAAAAAACTTTTCTTAAGGGCTGGCCCGGTGGCGCACTGGATAGTGCGCCGCTTGGGAAGCGCGGCGGCGCTCCCGCCCGAGGGTTCGGATCCCACATACAGACCGGTTCCCGCTCACTGGCTGAGCAAGGCGCGGGGGCGACACCGAGGGTTGCGATCTGTTGCCGGACACGGAAAAAGACACACACACAAAAAAATATATATATATATATAAAACAA